TTATAATTGATTATATTATAACGTAATTTTGAATATTTATGCTAGTAATTTTTTTAAAGATCTAAATTTTATTAAGAAAAAAAAAGAGAGAAAAAAGTTTTGTTTTAGTTTTATTAAATTTTGTGACTTTTTTATGTTTTTTTCTTGAATTTTTTATGTAAATTTTTCATATAACTTTGTATTAAAAACATGCAAAAGTCGAGAAGCTGAAACTTAGAACTTTGAGAAAAAACTGATTTTTTGGGGAAAAATAAAAGGTGTTGGTGCTTGAATAAATTATGAATCAATCAATTTTTTTTCTCTCCAAAATCAATTAATCCCTCAATCCAAACAAGCAGATACTCTATGCTACATTATGCTTCTAAAAAGAAGTAGAGCAAAAAGCAATAAATAAGTCTAATTATAATGTTCCAAGTGGAGGGAGGGCGCAGGCGCTTTTAATGAGCACGGCATACACTTTTTTTTTTTTTTTTTACATTTTCTCTCTCCACTATAATTATTGTTAAAATTAATTTATATTTAATAATATTTAAATATTATGTTTTTATTAAACACATTATAAATGACATGGTGCACTAATCTGTTTAAAATTTCTCCATTTGCAAGTCAGCTATTAATTGACAGTGAAGGCGAATGAATTGAGGAACAGATGGGTGCTGGCACGACTCGAGGTTCTCAATTTCTCATCACGTGTCCGTCTCTCCGATAAACTATGTGCCTTCCTTCTCTTGAGGATTCAAATACTCAGATTTAAAATACCTCAGTAACTTCTCTCAACTAACATCCCACATCACCCTCTGTCCACTTTCTTGTTTTTAAATTTCTTTTTCATAGTATATTCCAACTTCCAAAAATTCTAGAACTCATAAAGAAATAATGTTACTCATTTATTTATTTATAGGATATAGAGAACAAAATTAATTTTAATTTTATTCACAGGACATTTAACTATTTTCTATGTTCATTTTTATTTTCGATCCTTGTTAAATGTTAACAAAATTATTAAAAATATTTTTTTGCTAAGGGATGGAAGTGAAAATTTATTAAGTTTTAAAACTGATTTAATTAAATTTGAGATTTTCTTTTGATTTCTGTAAGACATTTTGAAAATGCCTTATAAACAGGAGAGAGTACATCTGTGTATACAGTAGTGCTCTATGTGTGGAAAACTTTTATGCATTTGTCATTGATCTAAATGTAGCCTGTTTGAACATGGAACTGATGCTCGGTTTAATGGCGTCTTTTTGTATCAGTCACTCCGTCCCTCTTACACGCTCAACCATGGACACAACAAATGAGTCATAAAGTAATGCAAAACAGGCAGTCATATATTTCTTCTACTGACCATGTAACTTAGCCAAAGGACTTGCGCGTGATATTTTAACTATTTCCTATATATCAATATCAAGTTTCCTATTTTAAAAAACTCGCGTGTGGCATAACACGGATGTCAAATGAATTGATAAAATATACATGAGTAGTGAGGTAACATTGTTCATGGCTTATTAATATCGTTATTTATTTAAAAACGTGAATAAATAAACATTTAAATATTAGTTTTAGTGTGAAGAGGAAATTAAAATTTACCAAATTTATTGAGTGGTTCTATCACTCACCATGACCCTAATTAGAATATCATTAACATAGTTGTCCTTTGGAAATGTTGTTGTCGAGTTGCATACAAAAAGAAGGATGTAGCAGCTTGCACCAAGTACTTGGAGGGTGAAAAAATTAAGCTATATGCCTAACCTCCTTACTTACCAAAATCAAACAATAAAAAAAAAATAATAATGAGATAAAGCACTTTATTAGATAGATTTCACAACGAGCAATCATCATAACAGACCATAATAACAATTATCATATTTAAACTGGACTAAGAAAAAATAGCATTCATACTTGGCTGGCTTTAAATCTTTAAGAGAGAGACCAATCAATGGAGGTTGAATACTTGCAAAATTGATAAAACATAAAATTCATTAATTGAAACAAGGTGATATTGGATAAAAGGACTCATGATTTTTTTCCCACTAGAAAAGATGGTTCCAAAGCAACATAGGAATATTTTTTCATTGAGTTTCCCTAGAATAAATACAATATTAACAGAAGTAAATGAAATAAAAATTATATTAAAAGAAGTTTTCAAACAAATTACATGCACGTGTATATGTGAATCAAATAACTGTGGAATTAAAACAAAGAGGAGGTGAAGGATCGAGGTACTCAAAAATTTTGTTACAGACTCATTGCAACCAAACAAAGTTCAAAAATCAAAGAATGAATGTTCATAGGGTGAAGATTGAGTTAATTTCGAGAGAGATGAATGAGGCTAAGAATATAATTGAGATTGGGTCAAGGGGGATGAATTGAGGGCGAGATTGATGGATGAAAAACCTATGTTTTTTGCATGAACTTCCATTGTACTCAAACTTAAAAGATATAAACCAATTTTTTGATGTTGCTCTGTTCAGATTTGCAGAAATGGATACTATACTGGCACTCATGAAAGAAAACGCGGCACTGGTATAGCCCAACTTCAACGAATAAGGAACCCCAAAAACATTGAGGCAAGGCTAGATACACACAACGTGGTAAACAACAATGTGGGAGTGCGCTCTGTGACAGTTTTCTCGAAATGTTCGAAAACAACGACTTATTGGGGGATAGTTGCTTAGGAATAAATTGGAAAAAAGAGTCAAGATAATAAGAGAGAAAAATAATGGATAAGAGGAAGTTATTTGATAGTTTCCATGCTTATTATTTAAAAAAATATTTTAAAAATCAATATAATAATATACGGAATCATGATAGAGATAATTCAGGAATAAATTTTAAAAATTGAGACAATAAGGGAGAAAACTAAGGGATAAGAGGAAGTTATTCTGCCATTGTTTTAGAAATATTATGTTTATTATTTTAAACGTCAATGCTGACATGGATAGGTTGCAGCATTATGAAATTAGCTTAGGTATTAAACTGTGGGTGATACTTTCAATTCTAAGATAAAATAAAATAAAGGAGTGAAGGTTAAGGATGATGTAGAAGTTATGATAATGGGAGGGATTGTGTGAGATAAGATTATAAATAAATGAAAATAAATGAGAGAGGTGTAACAGATAAGAGGAAGCTGTTGCAGTTAGTTTTAGAGATATAATAGTTTTTATTTAAATAAAATATTTTTAAAAATAAATGAAAGAGCTTGCAACATTTTAATGGAAAGTTGAGATTGGGGTTAGGGTAATTTTATAATTTTTAAATTAAAATTTTAAAATTATGAATTAGTTAAATTAGAAAATTTGAGTGGGAAGGACATGTGGCATTACCATTTTGCATGGCGTTCTAATTATATATATACTATATATATTATAAAATTGAATTTGATTATTATTTTTTGGTTAGATTATTTTTTTAATCATTATAAATTTGAAATTAAGTTAGGATAATGGAGAGATGTGTGTGAAAGAGATGTAATTTTATTTATTTTTGAAATAAACAATAAATCATAAAATTATAAAAGACACGGGAGAGAAATAGTTTTATTTATTCTTAAAATAAACATAAAACAGAAAAATTAAATATGGAGGATATAGACACATATAGATTGGGTTAATTCAAAAGTCCGTTCTGACTCGGAGGAGCATGCATGATGCTGCGCGGAATATTCTGTCCTGCCTGCCTTTTGTGTACACCGTTTGAGAAATGAAAATCATGTCATCGTGTAATTTCCTCTTGATATTCGTATTGTATGTTTCACTGAATATTTAAAACCAAAATATGATCCTTGTGATATATTCTTGTGTCAATTGGGAAGTCTACACTAGGCCTTTCAGTTTTACTCAACTAAATTAATTGATTTGATTTCTTTTAATTTAACAACATGATAGCTAAATTATTAAATAGGTGGCAGACCATTTAAACAAAGGACCGCACATACTTAAACTTTCCAGGGTTTCCCGGATATTTAAGATTCGACTGTCAAGCATACCCATCCACTACAAATTGGAAGAAGCTGTAACAAATTATTCCTTTCATGACTCTCTCATATGAGTTCATATCACTAATTTAGATAGTCATGATAGCAGACTATTTCTTCAAAAAAACATGTGAGCATGGCGTGGGGGTATTTAAAAGCCTTTCACTGTTTTTTTTTTTTTGGTAGGAAAATCTGTGTGCAAGCAATTAATGTGATTGCTCCTGTTTTGCATGTGCTTGGTGGAAAAAATACGTACAAGAAATAAAGGGTGTTCGCACGGTAGATGGCTACGTAAATTAATTGCAAAACAAGTGCAAGAAGTAAGTACCAAAGAAGGAAGGCGAAAAAAATACTTACTGTTCGAGACTTGCGGTGTGCCCCCTGATGATACATAACTGTGAATCTGTGATTACCAAGTCAAGGGTTTTTCGCACTCTTTCTTTCCCCTACCTGTGCCGTAATTTCTTTTGCAACTTTTTTAATACAACAATTCATGTTTTATCATTAATATTTAATTCCCCGTCCCCACACACTTGGGGATCCTCATTCGGACCGAGATCACATCATTGGATGAACTAATCCCAGCCCTTCATTTTAGCATAAAATAATCCCTGCCTTTTATTTTAAATTAATTTTATGATATTTTTAATATTGTCTATATTAAAATAAAAATTATAAAAATATTAATATTAAATATGAATCGTATCTGGATACTCATCAAGGGAACAAAACACCATGATATTTATTAACCTATAAGCCATATTTAATTTTTTATTTGTCAAAATAAAAATTTAAATGTGAAAAAAAATAATAATTTATAATAATTATTAATTTTTTAACAAATTTTTTAATCACCAATCAGGATTATACAAATTTAGTCCGAACAGTCTAATTTAATATTAATTTTTTTATAATTTTTATAAATTGATGTACTCTCAATAATATATGTTTAAACTATAAGATCAAATTTAATATTAAAACTTTTTCAAATATTACTCTGGACAACCAAGATGTTCTCTGAACAATCTGTATATAATATTAATTTTTATACTTTTTTATTTTAATATAGACAATATTAAAAAAATTTAACAATTAATTTAAAATAAAAGGCATGAATTATTTCATGCTAAAATAAAGGGTTGGGATTAACTCGAGCACCCAACGAGGATCCCACACTCGGCCAGCTTCAACAGAAACCCAAATTCAGAGGGTCCCACAAGCAGGGCTCACCTCTTGGTTCAGTTAGAGACAACGCCTTCATTACCGGCCAACAACATGTACTTGTCTTTTCTGGTGAGTTTGGTGCACTCAAACCCCAAAGCCTTCCCAATCTGAGACTGGACGTGATTTGCCACCTGGAATCTCGCATCCTCGTCACCGTGAGAGGTAAAGGATGAAGGAGAGACCTGGTGCAGAAACTGAATGGAGTAAATCGGGGTTGGGTTCATGAGAAAGAAAACTGGATCCAGCCACTTAAATCCTCCCGCGGTTGTACCGTGGAACATACTGACGTGACTATTAATCCCAACGGGCGTTATTTCGTCGCAGATTTCTGAGAACAGAGGGCTGAATCGCAATAAATAGGGCTCTCTGCAGGTGGTCCCCTCCGGGCACACCGCTACGTCCCCCTGCTTTACCAACTCCTTCATCATGTTGGCATCCTGATCTCTGTTCCTTGTTAAACGGACCGTCTTGATGGGCGCCAGTATCTCCGACAGTCTGCTTAAGCTGTACGTGACGGCGATCAAGTCCTTCTTTAGCGCAATAGAGAGGTAGAGAGGATCCAGCAGAGTTCTGTGGTTGCACACATAAAGACGGCCGCCACTTTTGGGGGAGATCTGGGACGAGGTCTGCGCCTGCGGTAATGACACCGTGAGACGCAGCCCGCTGAAGGTGAGCAGAGGAGTAGAGATGCTGTACGGGAGGGACAGCGTCAGGATAATCCTGATAATGGCGAGAAGTATCGAATACGGAAGCCACATCAATATGGCAACGCCCTCCAGAGGAGTTGGTCCAACGGCCAATCTACTGTCATAGAAGATCAATGCCCTGGGGTATTTATCTCTCGCTAGCCTTTGCCAGCCTCTCTTGTCAGCCTCGCTCACCAAGTAAATTTCCTGTTATAAAAGGACAAACAACTCGTGAGTTTCAGAACAAGGCGACAACTTTTAACCTTCAACTTTGACACTAAAAAAGTAACACACAGCATCCTGAAGTCTAAAATTAAGGGTAGAGATGAACCTTGCACTGAGAAAACAAGTCATGGTCAAGAATGTTTTCGAAGGTTGTGATGCCAATTGCGTCAAAACTTCCTTTCTCTTCTAGAACCTGTTCCCGAGCATGTCTGGAATCTCTGGGCTCCATCAGCCCCACGTAGTAGCCGCAGAACACTTTGAGCTCTCTGCCCACTACAACATCGATCTGTAAATACTCTCTTAAGAAACTTTCCACCATTACCTGAGGTAAATTACTGACGCCCACTTTCTTTCCACCCCTGCCAAGCACTTCGATGATCTCGGAGCCAGTATTCTCTAGCCAGAACTTCGGCAGGACAGCCCTCCCGGCTCTGAAGCTTTCTGTTCTGATCCCAAAGAAGCTTATCATCACCATTATTTGTATCCCCATTCTGTGTCCCACCAAACAAACAAGAGGATACGACACAAGGAGAGCAACGGCTCTGAAGAGGTCTCCAGCTTCGAAAGCCACGAGCACGAAGTAAGGGAACAGAGAAGGAGATCTCAGCAGAGTTCCTTCTACATCGAAGACTAAGTTATGGTGGTTGAGGTCTGACCGATGGGCCAGAGAGGGATACTTTTGGCATTTAAACTGGGTTCCGAGGGTATTGCTAATATTTTTGGGAATGCCTACGAGGTTCTTGAGTTGCTTGAGAAGAAAACGGCACCAAAAGAACAGAGCTCGGAAGAAGAACGGTCTAAATATCTTGGCCATCTAGATACCTGGACTGGACAATACCCTCGTTAAGTGCAGTGACGGCAGGTTTCGGAAGGGGAACCAATGTATTTAATTATTTATATGACTGCTAGTTCATCAACACCCTTAGAAGAACATCATTATTACAATAATGGCATCTTGTTTGTTTAGACGTTGGCACCAACTTGCAAGCCTATACACGATTGACAAAATCAACTTTTTTACTAGTTTCTTCTTTTGTTGATCAGTGGTATTCCAAATTCCAAGAGGATTACTTTGAGGTTTGAGCTTTGCGATAGTCGTTTTGGGGCGGTGGGGCCGAGACCGTAAAATAGTACATGTCCATGTTGACTCTGACCTCTGATCCATTGTGATTTCTATTCACGTCCGGAGTCACCCATGAAAACCGTAGAGAGAGACGAGGGCTGCTATCAAAGGAGGTGGCAGCCCGACAAACAACATCGAAATCCAAGACTGGTACGTTTTCGGATATTCGTCTCCACTGTAACCGGAGTGCTAGAATCTCCGTTAATTTCTTTTCTGTTTACAATCATGCTGTTTCAATATTTCTCTCGTCCAATTATGGGACTGGCTTGGTTGTAATGAGCGCGAATTTAAGATCGGGAGTATTCACTTTTAATATTCATTATTTTAAAATGTTCTAAAAATTTTATTTTAATAGATAAAAATAAAGATAATCTCTTGGTCGGTACTTTATTAAAGATAAATTAAAATAAAAATTTTTAAATCTAAATAGTTTAAACTGGATATTTAAACAATCCAAATCTCACTGTAGCGACAAGAACTGCTGAAGTTAAGCTTTTGTAGGAAAAAAATATTTCAATGGCTTCTATTTGTAATGGTTAAGGACACTACAAACCCTGAAAATTATTATAATTAGGAATAAATGAGCACCCACCCTTGTCTATATCTCTTCCCACCCTCTCCATCGTAGCAGATGTTCAGGATATATGCAGTTGTTAAGTTGTATGTGATGGTAAATATTGAAGATATTTTTGGGAGAGGGTCAAGAGGAGTGAATGAGTGGGAGCCTAGTGAAGATAGCCGGTACGATCTACATTGTGAGAAATAAATGAAAAGTGCAGAATGATACTAGTATGGCTAGGTAACATTAAAATCGAACGGGCCATCGTCATCAAAACGGTTAATGAATCTGAGGGGTCATTTCTCATTACGGCCCCCACCTACTACAGCCGCTACGTCACGCCCGTGCCAGATTATTCCTAAAACATGTTTCCTGTTTTTCTCCTCGTCCGATCCTCTCTTAATCGGAGTGCCCCGTACGTGGTGTCTTATTAGATAACGAGGCAAGCCATGGGAGTATGGTCCAATGGGTCAGCACTGACAAGTTTAGGAATATATGCTACAAGATGTCGCGCTCTGTTTAGTGACCGCAGTGTACCCTGCTGGTTGTGTCTTTTAAATAAATTGGCTGCCTTTGTGCTGAGTCAGAGCCTTTAGCACCGTCTTGTCCCTGCTGATTCGTTTTAATTTTTTCGTATCTAGGAACCACTTTTGGGCTGAACTTCAATTGGTTGACATTCTGGCTATACAATGCGCGAAGGTGCCTTCGCAGGTTACGTTACGTGAAGGGAATACGCCTCTTATTGGCCTGACCCGCTGAACGGAGGTAGCGGCCTGCATGAGTGGGAGGGCAATGCCACGTGTCCTGAAGCTGAACGGCGCTGGAACGGATGAATTGTCCAATTTATTTATCTTCCGAAATAGATAAAATTAAGTTTTATTTTTGCGTGTTAAAGTGAAAATAAATTCATTATTGTAGTAGCATATTAAATTGAGTCCCATGTTAGTGCATGTATATTACAGAGTTTGAAGTCTGAAGAATAAATCATGCTGATGAATAAGAATGCATGGGTGGAGGAGATGAGGTCGAGGGACGGGGGAACATAAATAGGGGGGGAGGGGGTGTCCCGTTCTAATGGAGGCATATGAAAGGAAAGATCATGTCTGAAAGTGGATGGAGCCTCCCTCAAGCCCACCTGCGTTTTGACATTTTGAATTTTGATGCATCTTGCATGGCCATGCCTCTTCACCCTTCTTCCTCTTTATTAGCATTGCAATTACACGCAAGAGGGCTCCATTCCAAGACTCTGCGTTCATTTTCCCAATAAAATTTGACTGATCTTGATCCATCCCTAAAAATTGCATCTGGACAACATCTTGTTCTCCCAGGTACATTGCATCCAATTTGAAAAGAAAGAAAGAAAGAGATTGAAACATACACGGAAGATTCAATTAGGGGAGGTGGTTAGCTTGTCAAATATGGACCATATCAATATCAATCAATCAATCAATATATATCTACAACTCTTGTAAAATGAAAGTAATTGATCATAGATATCTTCTCTCCCATTAATCAACATATTTTGATATAATATTAATTATCCTCTCCCATTGGTCAATTTAATTTTAGTCTAATATTAATATTATAATTTTATTGATTGATGTGATTGAATATATTTTTTTTTGATTGATTGACATAATTTAATTTATTTATTTTAATTGATTTTTATTTTTTTCATGGGACAATTAATTTAGATGTGATTAAATATTTTTTATGATTGGTTAACAGAATTTAATTTATTTTTTATTTATTTTAATTAATTTTTATCTTTTTACAAGATGAACAATTTAATTGTGGTTTAATATTAATATTACTATTTCATTGATTGATGTGATTGAATATTTTTTTAATTTATTTTAAAATTTATTTTAATTAATTTCTATCTTTCCACGGATGATCAATTTAAATATGATTGAATATTTTTTTAATTGGTTGACAGAATTTAATTTATTTTTTATTTATTTTAATTAATTTTTATCTTTTCACAAGACAATCAATTTAATTTTAGTCTAATAATAATATTATTATTTCATTGGTTGATGTGATTAAATATTTTTTGATTGGTTGAGAAAATTTAATTTATTTTTTATTTATTTTAATTGATTTTTATCTTTTCATGGGAACGGGAGCATTAAATTTGATTTCAAATCTTCCTTGAATCATCTATCATGGGAGCATTAACTATGTTATTTTCCATACTCTTAAGTCTTGTTAGAGACTTTCTATTCTCAATACAGGAATAACTTTGCTTCTTTTAGTCTCATATGCCCTAATTAAAGATTGATCAACCATCCTTTTAAGTGGGTTTGTTGCCAACGATGGAGAACTGAACAATCAAGGTGGAGGAGTTTAGCACCTCTTTTTAGCCAATGTCAAGGAGAGAATGTTGGATTCATCCACATATTTCTTGAAGAATTTGAGAGCTTGACTTTGCTGTGCTCGAATGATAGCACTTGGCATGAGTTTCCTTTTATTGGGTCCATCACCATGATGTCCTCTGTAGGAACCTCAATGGTGGATTCATTTATGATTGGGCATTATAAAAGATGACATTTCAATTCAAAATAGGTTTTCACCTATGATATCAATGTATTAATATCAATGATATCATTGACATCTCAAATGTGTTAACATCAATGATATCAATGATATTTTTTAAATTTCTTAATTCCAACCTGTGCAATGCACGAGAAACTATCTAGTTTATTAATACTCCCTCCGTCTTAAATTATAATATATTTTTAAATAAAATTTTACATACTAATAAAACTCATTAAATACACCTTACAATTTTATTTTTTAAGATAAAAATATAAACTTTTTAAAATACTTTTAATTTAATACTCCATTGATGAAAGAATATTGAAGAGAAAGAATATATGAAAAAAATAATATTAAAAAACTATCATTAATAAAACTTTATTTTTATTAAAATATCTTATATTTTAAAATGATAAATTTTTTTTAAAAATATTTTATAATTTAGGATGGAGGGAGTGGCATGAAAATAATTATCAATTCAACTCCATAGCCAGAATCCTCTGTGCCCATCTTCCACTGTGCTGGAATATGATTGGATAAGAAGGATGGCTCCTCCTTCTCCGGGGTTCTGCGGCTGCGCACCGCAATCATATCCTCCTAAATCCCTAGTCATGTGCCCCTTCACCACGTCTTACATTCCCATCCTCATTTACTTCATCAATACTATTCCTCTTATCATTATTTATTTCTGTGCGTATCCAATAGATTAACGTGACCTTTACATCAGTCAACAACTTAAAATATTAAATACAATAACCCTATGTTTAGATACATATAAATTTAAATCTAATATTCCTCTTATCAAAAATACAATAACCCTAAATTTATATTAAATTTTTTATTTGGACATTTAAAAATTTATGAATTTAAATTTACATGTTTATGTATGAATTAATACATGAATCTCACATTTAAAATTTGAAATGTAAAATTTCAAATCCAAATTCATGAATTCAAACACTACTTAAACACACAAATTTTCCCTGGTGGATTTTTCACGCTCTTTTTCGCTTGTCCCAATTTCCCTTCTATTTTGCTGCAACGTTAAGCGAGTTGCCAACATTTCCCTACAACAGTTTTGTCAGCGCTAGAAGTTAGAACCAAGTGCCTTGGCACAATAGCGCAACTGCTGGGGATGAGGTGCGGTGGGGAAATCGCAAACCCACTAAATAATAATAATAATAAACGAGAATTATTTTTTCTTTTGGCAGATCGGCACTACAGCGGTTAATTCACTAACCCCCCTAAAAGGGCCATTAGCGGTCTAAATTCTCGTCATCACTGGTGGAGTGCAAAGGCCATCAACAGCAGAAATTAGCTTCTAACATGCTACATTACTAAGATACGGGAAATCTTCGCTAAACTCATATTAACAGGATGAGTCATCTCACTCTACAAGAGAACTTTAGACCATCCGAGAGGCTGTACAAGAACATATAAATGACCCAAAACTACTTTGAACAGCCTTAATGATCGTCTTTAGACCATCTCACTCCATAGGATCCGTGTCATTTACCCTGCAGAACTGCATTGACATACGCCAGTTGAAAAACAATCAGATTGCAGCAATTTTAATTCCACTCCCTCAATCCTGGACCACAAATATAATTATCAATATGTCTTGGGCGACAAAATCATGGCAAAAGAATAGAGTTGGATAATGAGAGCTAGGTGCATCACCTTCGTGGGTGAAGTTCTTGGAAAAACGGACAGAAATTAAACCTTCATCGGCTGCAATGCTTGGCTCGGGGGAAGCCATTACTCCAACAGCAGTGCTACGTCCAGCGTTTATTCCTGCAAACTCTCAGTAACATGAGTATCCAATAAACATACAGAACATCGTACGTACGTACAGAGTCTCTTGAAAGTTATTTCATCAACAAAAACTATTCCGCTTGAGATGCCCCCGAGCGCAGTTTAAGTTTCTACCAAAACCAAATACTCTTCAAAGCTTTTAATTGAGCTGAAAACGTCGCATGATGAGCACCATAACACCGAGGAAATGGAATAGGTTATAATTCTAAATATAGTTCAAAAGTTAAATAAGTTAATGACTGGGGACTGCGCAAATGTCTTCATGTATGCCCATGTGGTGTGCTTTGTACGAAAGAACAAAAAAATAAGCGCAGCCTAACTCCAAGTCACGCTTTCAATGTCCCGGGATGTTTGACCAATTCAATGATGTAAACCGATTCATCATCCTACATGCTCATAGCAAATATCCATATTCTGTCAAATGTATTATGTATGTGGTTTCATGTTGGACACCCTAGGACTGGACCATCAAGGAACACTGTCAAAAAGCCATAATGCGATTATACTATGTACTCAATCTGAACAGAATGTCACATATCAGATTTGAGCTTGTTAGCTTCCATCATGCAAAAGACATAAAGCTATAAACACGCCAAAATCCAATTTATGAGACCAAGAGAGAATCATGGTTCAGCAGTTTTAAAGAAACAACTTCAGCTGTGTTCAAACGATGACATATTTGACACCAACCAAATTGAGATGAAAGGTTAGGTAGGTAGCAGAGCAAGGAAGACAATCCAAAGAAACCAGTAAATTTACCTTGTATTATAATGATGGCAAAGAAGAAAATAGTGATGACCATGGCAGAAAGACCAGCATATGATGATGATGATGATCCTTTTCTTGCTTTCATCTTCCTTACAGCTTTCAGTTTCTTCATCCTTTCACGCTTCCTCAAGGCAAGCTCAGCAATTTCCTGCACAAGCTTCTGATCAGCAGCATCCAGTAAAGGCCCTTTAGGTGGTCGTGGTGGCTTAGGAGGCTTTGAGTTAGGCTTCTTATTCTTTTCCTTGCTATTATTATTCTTCACTTGGGGCAGTTTCATTTGTAAATCTTCTAAACATGCATCTACATGTACTTGTACATCATCATCCATAACATCAGCTGATTTTGACGAACTGCTACATGTTTCAACCCCAGTTTCATGCTTTCTGAAACGATCAAAGTCCAGAAGTGTATTCCATGCCCAGCCAAATAAATTCTTCGGATGTCTTTCACTGGGATCAAGGTCCCTGCTTTCATCCTCTTCACTAGTATTCCCACCACTTTCAAGATCACTTTCGAAGTCTCTCTCTCTTGAAATAATTTGATCCATCTGATGGCAATCAATTTCACCAAAAAAGAAGGGAAATAAAGAAGCAATACTTTTCAAAACTAGCATACATTCGAGGCTAAAATGAAAAGTTCTAAACATAGGTTGGAAAGTTAAAGAAAACACAATCTTCCCATAAGTCATACACGGAGACAACACAAACTTCAGGGATGAAAAAAAATCCTTTGCAGTGCTTCATATTTCAGAAAAAGTTAAGTTCGAAGCTAAATTATTCAGGCCTTTGATGATAAAAAACCAGACAGTTTGTCACAGCCAATATAATAATTCTTGTAGAAGCCTCCAGGCTCCAGAAAAGAGAATCTACGTTTGCAGAAGCCTTAATGAACAGATAAAGTCAGACAATAAGGCAACGGATGGGATGAAAAAGAGACATTTCTGGCTAAATAGTTGGAAAAGAGAAAAACGAAGCGAGTAAAAATTTATCACGTAAATCTCTTTTCCGATAAACTAAACAACTAACTAAAACCATAATGCAGCCCATATAGATTGATCTCGAAACGAGTTTACAAGACCAGATGAAACAATCGTAATGGCCAAAACGAAAACCTCAGGATCTTAAATTTTGGCATGAGCAACAAATAAGCCAGCCCAGAATCACGCCGGAGTGAAAATTATCAAAATTCGGAAGTAACAACAGGTCGATCAAATTACTGGGAAGCAATGTATTCTACAATCGGAAGGAAGAAAATGGACAGAGAAACGAAAAGTCAAAACTACCTTTAAGCAGGGGTAGAACCCTAGGATCGATCGTTTGTTTGAAACATTCCCAACTTAGTATCCGTCCGCGGCCGCAGGAGCCCACACAGTGATTCCATATTTTATTAAATTAAAAAGATAAGCAATAATGCCCTGCCTTTGGACAATTCCCTTTTAAATCATTGGCGTTTGCAAAGATGCAGAGGCTTTCCAGTTTTTCTATGTTTGTTGGCTTTATTTTTTTAAAAAGAAAATGCAGATTAAGCCGAATGAAGAATTTTTTATTTTTTTTAACGTTTATGAAGTGATGTTTTTTGGTCAGAGGCAGAGTGAGTCAATGAGAAAGGTTTGAAAATGAAAACCGAAGGCCACCCAAATCCCCACCAGTCGACCACGGAACGGCTCCATGACGTGTCATATGGGGAAATGTGCACACAAGTATGGTCGTTATTTTTGTGATGGTTTCCAAGGGAGTTTGGATAAGCTTTTCTTTTTGGCAAAAGATAGATTCATTTTTAATAAGCTGCATTTGTTAGGCACCGTTTGGTTGTTTTGATAAAATGATTAAAGGGTAATTTTACCCAGTCTATAGTTTAAGAAATAATTTATTGGCCAAAGAACGGCAAAGAATAAATTTATCATTTAACCTTTAATAAAAATGAACAAACACTAAAATATCAAGACATTTCAAACAAGTAATATCTATTGCATTTTTTTTTAAAACAGAATATCTATTGTATTTTAAAAGCAACATTTCTTTTAAAAAAATTATATTTTTTTATTTCTCTATTTTATTTCATTCTATACACTAAACCCTTTAGCGAGTAGCGACCAATCTTTAAATCTTTAAAATATAGTAAAATCTTATCAAATCAATTGATTAAGAATTTAAGATATTTTTGGTTTGAGACTTGAGTTGGGTGACTGCATCTATTAAAAAGCGCATTGTCAAAATTTAATATTATCTTTTTTTATTTTAAATATTTTTTGTTTTGATAAATTCAAAAATAAAAATAAAAATAATTTTATAGCCATCATTTGTGAAGAAATGTGATTTTTAATAAAGAAAATTATAAAAGTAAAAAAGAAATGAGTTCAAGACATTTAAATTAGATTTAATCAGCCGAAATCAATTAGGAGCATAAAGCTAAACACATCCGACACCTTTCTGATAGCCAATTAACGCAAAGACATTTCGTTAAACTTTTAAAACCAGCATCTAATTAAAAAACACAATAACTGATCATTTTGAAAAAAAAAATTATCTGCATCTTATTAAATAAAATGCTTGGAGGTATATTTCAGCAATGGAGTTTAGGAAAGAATTCTTTCTGAATTAGTGTTACGGCCTCCACAATATCAATGATCTCAACTTTTTGGTGAAGATTTAAAGGTGATATATTCACTATAACTAGAATAAATTTGTTACGCGACAAAGGCTTCGAATATGGAACAGCTATCAGTGGAAGAAGTTGGAAAAGATACTCTTTACACTTCGACACAATCAAAATGAATCCATACATTTACAAACAGCTCGAAATGAGTCGCACATCTTGTGAAATATATTATGCTACTCTTAATGATCTGGGAGCTATGGATATGGCCCATTGGTTAAAAATTAAATTTTTAATATAAAAGACAGAACCCAATTTTTTTTAATATTTTATAGTGAACACTCTCTTAAATGTATTTAATTTTTTTAAAGGTTTGAGTATACTTTTACTCCTCTAACTTTATATAAAATTTCAATTTGATTCCTTAATTTTATAAAATATCTTTTTAATTCTTTAATTCTAATATTGCTAGTTTCAAATGATTATTTTTTTAAATAATTATTGGCAGTGAATGTTGGATTTTGACAAGACATTAAGAGCAAAACATTGGAATAGTAAAGATGAAAATGTTGAAATGAATGTGTGAATATATATATAAAGAAAAAAATTAAAATGAATGAATACAAGAAAAAACAGGCATTGCACCTATTGAAGGAAAAATAGTAAAAAATCATTTGAGGTGGTTCGAACATATACAAAGAAAATTATAAGAGGCATCTATGAGGAGAGTAAAACAAATGACCGAACCTTATCAAGAAAGGTAGATGAAGACCAAAGATAACACTTTTAAAAGTTGTTGAGCGAAACCTTTTAATTAACAAAATTTCAAAAAGCTTAATAAATAATAAAGTACAATGACATCATATAATTCATGAAATCGACTCCACCTAATGAGATAAGGCTTGTTGTTATTGTTGTATTATTATTATAATTTTAAAAAAAATTAAACTTAATATGTCAACATTTAAAAATATTTCTTCAATATTTAAAAGTTTAATGTAAAAATTTGTAAAAATAAAACTAATAATGCTAGAGTTAAAGAATTAAAAAGACACTTTATAAATTTAAAGGATTAAAATAAAACTTTGTACAAAATTAAAAGACTAAATATATATTTTAATCTTTTTTAAATGTTACACACTCTTAATTGAACAAGCTATACTCCCTTCACTCTTTTTTTTAATAAATCACACCCCACTCACTCACCAAATCCAACATGCATTAGTTAGAATAATAAAATTATTTTCAAAATAAATCACTTCTAAAAAAGAATTATGTGATACTCCCTTCAATTTTATTTATAAAACACTTTTTAAAAATTATTTTTTTGATCAAAATATAAGATATTTTATAATAACTAAGCCATTTTTTCAATTTTACTCTTCTCTTGATTAGTGTGAAAGTTTTTGATGTAATTATATTATTATTTAAATTCAAGAGTAAAAATAAAAGTACCTACCATTTTTTTTGTGATATAAAAAAACTAATTTTTTTAATATACATAAAACAGTTAAAAATATCTTATAATAAAAATTAGAGGAAATACGTAGAAAGAGTTTTTTAAAACTTAAAATATTATACTTTCTTTTCAGAATTTATTCAAAGATAGTTTTGGAATTGTACATCGAAGATTTACAAAAAAAACAAAAAAAAAAACAAAAAGAAGAAAAAATGATTTATACAAGTGACCGAAAAAAACTTAAATATAACTGATAAAAAGGGCAGGAGGGAGTAACTCCTAGACATTTCATCATAGTAATTAACTTTAGTGAAAAATAAAATTGAAAAGTAAACATTTTTACAAGCATAAAAATATTTAATATTATTCATTAAAAACCACAAAATTGATTAAATATATCCTACAATATGGGCCAGGGGGAGTATGGATCATATTTAAAACATCAAGGAAGAAGAGATCTGGCTGATTAATAAGATAAGAGCAAGGAAATAGCGGATTCCTAACAACTGTCAATTGCACCCCGCGGGAATCAGATCTGGGAAATAATATTAATTGTCTAATTGAGGCCTAAACTCCCAGGGAACCACAATGTTCCGTGGCTTCAGCTCAACTCGCATGCATCCATTTCAAGAAGCGGTCGCAACAAAGTCCGCCATGGTAGGCCACTCCGCCCCATATTCCCTTCTCAGAGCTCAACTATTTTCGTCCACGTCAACCCCCACAAAACAGAACAAAGGAACAGATCAGCGATTAAGATGTACTACGTTGCAACGAGACCAATAGCATAGTAGCTACTTCGCTGGCCAGCACTAGGTGCAATGATGAGGCTCTATGAGCTTGACATCAAATCCCATGATTGGAACTTGAAAGTTGTAATTGCAGGGAACCACGAGTTGGATGATGAGAAAGATACCGGGTCCGTGAAAGTAGTTTTCACATTTACTGCTACGCCCGTTAATCAGCCCCCGAACATGTTTACCCAAGAATGGAAATACCCTAGGCCTATACTAACCCCTGGCAATTAAATAATCACAACAGAAAACGTAGTATGGCACCTTCCACCACCACCACGATCCCACCAGGCGTGAACCAAAGGATATCTCCGCAAAACGATATTGATTAGATTGCCAAGTAACCACCATATTCAATGAAGTAAAATAAGCCCCCAAAGAAAGGAAAAAAAATCGTAACTCACATCAAAGTTCTTAACACGGCTGAACAGCCGAGTTACCTAATAAAATTGGTTCCATAAACAATATCGCTTCCCAATCCTAACACCATAACCAACATACCTACCTTATGGGCTGCCCTGCGCCTCACACGCCTACCCGATCAATCTGGACCCTGAAAATATTTTACGAGGGAAATTTAAGCTAAAGTTGACATTAGGGATCAGCCAAATGACCGGTTAAATAAACAAAACAAGACCCCTCTCTGTGACAGCAATAAAAATAGCACAAGGTGAGCCCTCCATACTAATGTACTGCTAAATAGTTACAAGGAACTATATCCAACCCAGGCCAGGGTCCACAACTGGAGAGTGGAATTTAACAAAACCATAACATGAGTATGCAATTGCAGGGTGAAACCATGAGCTCTAACATAGAGCATCATAACCTTTTAGTTGGTTTGCAAGAGTCAGCAGAATAACTCACCACTTTATCCACACAGAATTTTAATATCTGTTGTAAGCTTTCGGAAAATCTCCACGCCTCTGAAATTCACCAAAATTCTCATGACGCCTGGTAGGATAGTTTTCCATAGTGTTTGAGAACCTGTTCCTCAATTCCAAGGGTAAGCTGGCCCCAGTATAATGAGGGTTGGTTGTGGATCCATCATATTCAGAAAAGTTCTGCTGTTTATAACCCCCAAAACCAGATGTAGGCATTTGTTGGACAGCCTGCTGTTGACGCCTCTGGGCATCAAGCTGAAGAAATTCTTCCCACTGTTTGGCATGTGTGGCCCTCAGCATAGCTACTTTGTTCATGTAGTTCTCCCTCGTATCTCTAACAGCCTTCAATAAAATATCAAAAACAGTAAAGTTTTGTCAACAAGCAAAATAGCAATAATTCCAAAGACTCAAAATTGATTCAAAATTTTAACATGAAAAAGAACACTAAGCTAATGGCATATATAGACAAACGACAATAATTAGAAGCATGCATAAGCATAAACAACCATTTGCATTTCCATCACTTGCAAAGAGAGCATAATAATAATCTTAAAGAACTTCCAATACAAGCTTAGCAAAAATGAAGCAACGAACTATTCTAACTTAACCGGAACCAGCAACTGTTCACTATTTAACAGTTCTCAAACAAAGGACCAGCATTATTAAATAAAACAGAACTTAATTGTGCAGCTTAAGTTAATATTAGACACACAGGAAACAACTCCCACATTTGCAGTCAGTTAATAACCAATATTGCCATCCACACATCCACGATTGGGCTCAAAGCTTCAGACATTTGACATTCAGTACGTAAAAGATTCAGTTATTCACAAATCTCGTTGTAGCAAAATGCATATTCACCCAACACCATTAGCATGTGAAGAACGAAGGAAGTCAATTATAGCCCAAGATCAAATGATTTGAACATGTAAATTGCACCTCACGATGCCTAAAATTTTCTTCATCTTCTTCTCTATCACGGATTCTTCCAAGCTCTGTGGCCTCCCTTTTATACTCCATCTCTAATTCTTCTAATGTCTGTGGGAAGGCATTGCAATCAAACTGATGACCAGATTGGATATCAGATTCTCTAGCTTGTGAATCCCATCCATCATTTCTGTATGTGCCCATGTTTAGATTACGGTCATCATATGAATTATATGGGTTGCCTGTATAAGGTGCTTCTCTAGGAGATCTTGAATGGCTCGGACGACCTCTACCCCCACTATTTCCAAAAGCTTCATCAAATGAAGAACATGTCAAGCACTTGATCCAGGATGCCAACATAGATGGTTTTCTTAAACTAAACAAATTAGCACTTGATATGCCAACATAGATGTAGCTTTAAATACAAAACCTATCTTTATAATCTGCAAAGTGAAACCATGGGAGCCAAATCCTTTCAGTAAACAAGTTCGTAATGGAGGCAACCCTTCATTTCAGACCCACTTAAGAAAGTTACTGGAGGAAGGAGATAATGCTCGAAGGCTAAGGACTTACCTCTTGCTGCAAGCAAATATAAGCAAGAACAACATTATTAAAAAACTACACATCAAGGGAAATTTTCACCCAAAGAAAAAGTAAAAAGAAGCCTAAAAATCTATGAACATGAGATTACCAGCTTTCTAAGGATGTCGTAAACAAACCCTATGCTGTCCCTACCTTGTGGAGAACCTCTTGGAAATTTTTGAAAGTCCTCTCTTACACGGTCTTCAACAACCCTCTCTTGCCTACCAAACCTCTGTTGAAAATGAGTAGTATTACGAGGTCCAGAGTGAGACCTTGGGGGCTCAGAGCGTTGAAACCGTCCACCAGCAGGACTTCTCTCAGGTGACCTAGATGTGGTCATGTGAGAACTAGAAGACCCCCTTTGATTGCCCTCCTCTCTAATCTTGTGTACAGCATCAACACCTTTTGCCAAAATTAATCTATCCTTACCACTGACAATAATAAATTTCTCATCCATCTTTATCTTGCATCCAATATCCCTCTCAATCTTGCTTATAACTTTCTCTGTGAAAAGTGCTCTCATATGTTTGTCTCTTGCTGGTACTCTTTCAAAGAAATCTTGAGACTTGCGATTGGCTCCTAGTGTAGATGGGCAACCCTATAGTTACAGATAAAATTGCATTTAACCAATCAGATGGTGGTGGTAAGTGGTAAATGAATGAATAAATATACACATTTGGCCCCTCCAATTTTGTAAGAGATTGAATGGGGTCCCCCTAGTTGAAAAAAAGGGGCATAATGTTGCTTCCTGTTGTTTAAAATCATCCAATTTCACCCACTTATCTCATAATACATGTAAAATTTAACGCCAATCTTAACAATTTGCTCACTTAGGCTTGCCTCAAGATTCAACGTAAAGCATGGATACACCGGTAAAAATAAAAAGTTTGGGCATGTTTCTGTCCACATTGCAAGAACATAGTCAACAACTTGCAAAATACCTGAGTGAAATGCCCAGATTCACCACAAAGTTTGCAGATCATTTCTTCTTCTTTTCTTTTCTTCCAGTTCCTCTCAGTAGCCTTTGACTTAGCCTCCCAGACCTTGGCTTCTCGGCTAGTGAAATCAGTTGGGACAGCATTAGGGTCACGAGGCTCCTCCTCCTCGTCAGACCCTGCATGAGACCTCTTGTTTGACTTTGTCTTCTCTAGGGAATTAGTAGTAGCAGTTCCAGGAGGGCCAGTGTACTCCTTGTAAAGTTCACTAAAATCGTCATCAATATCTGGATCAGGTCTATTTGCCATTAAGCAACCCCCTTTAAACTGAATCCCTGCATTGAGTAACAATATTGAAATCCATAAAGAGAATAAAAAAGGAATCGTTTAGTTCAACTGTGTGTCATTTGTCTCTTCTCCTAAGTCATAAGAAGCTCAAATGGTATAAATTAGGACAGAAATACGATATAGCTGAGCTGAAATAATGTAGTAAAGAACTATAGATACACATCCAAGGATATTCATTCAATAGCATGCAAGAGCCCCCAAGGCCATTAGCGTACATATGCCAAACGGTGGGTGAAGCGGTTTTTTATTTACAAAATCAGACAAGTAAAAAGCGACAAGCACAGACCAGAAGGAAACAATTCAGAGTCACACACAACGCCTACAGTAAGTTGAATTGCAGCAGCTACATATCAAAATTCAAATCCCCTTCCCCTGACGTAAGGATAAGGGAGGCCGCAAACGATGGGAAAGGGAAGAAATTCATGGATAATAAATACGAGACGAACATTTAAAACTCAATATGATGTTATCTTCATCAAGTAAAACCCAACAAAAATGATTGGGAAGAAAGCTGGTAGAAATAGGAAGTAAAAACCAAGTAGGCATAATGAATCTGAATAAAAGGCACAGTAAGGAATTTCAAAGCAACCCTAAAATCAAGGGATTAGAGCATTTGGTGAGAGAGGAATTCTCACAATTCTTGAGACGACGACGAACTTCCCGAACGGCGAACCGCCGATGGAGATAGAGAGGAGCAGCCTTATGTGCATTTCGTGTCTAGGGTTAATTGGGCCATGGGCTATCCATATTATCCCCCACCCGACCCGACGTTTTCGATTTTTAGGTTTTCTTTTCTGCCCCCGTGAGCATATATAATTGGATAACAGTTTTTTTTTTTTTTTAAACCATAATTGGATAACAGTTAATGTCGAATCACACCCCCTTTAGATCAAACCGAAAATTAAAACCCTGTGAAAAGAATCATGATGGAATAGCCAGCCCTAACTGGGCGTTATTCTCCAATAAGATACCGGACATGAAATTTTTGTATTAAAAAAACGCAAAAACTTAGAAAACATTTAAATAACAATAACTTTTATTTTTGTTAATACACATGTAACGATAGAGATAATTTCCGGGACAATAAAGATAATGGATGTTACTGGAGTATAAATTATGGAAATATACTCCTGTTCTGGCACATCCTGGAAATTTGTATTTATATGATAATGGATAAAAAAGACGTGATTGACGAAGAGGGAATCAAAGGAACAAAGAAAGATGCATTACCAAAAGAACTGTAGAAGAATATGGATGTTGGCCCCAATTATAATTTGATTTGCTCATGTCCACTAGACGACTACGGGAAAGGGAAAGTGAATGTAGCGGGGTTCTGCGGAAACGTCTGGAAACTTCGCTGCAAAATAATTTTTGGGAATGACCTCCCAGACGCAGGCAAATTGATTCCACGCGCTGGTGTGAGTCTCCACGAATACTCGAAAGCATGGAGTCTACTTTGTCAGTCACTCGTTTCTGAATCGATGAATGCTTGTTATTAGTCTCCGCCACCTGAAAATCACATTAAACTCAATTGTGATGGTTTTTTTCGTGGCAAGTCTAAAAAAGCAGGTATTGGTATCGTTGCTCGTGATTGCCTGGGAAGGTTTCTCTCTAGTTGATGAGTGTTGCTGCTGACTCAGCTTTCTTGTCTGAATTATGGGTTGTCAAAAAGGCTTCAAGTAGACCTCTCTTCTTTGCCTGATTTGAATATAGATATAGAAGTAAAGTGGACTCTACTGAAGTTTTCTCTCTTTTAGCTCCAAGGGAGTTCCGCCACCTTCCCTAGCACGTTTTTTGCTCCATGGCTGTTCCGTGATCTCCTTGTGGCAGCATTCATCTGATGCAGAACGAGAGAGCATTGGCTGAGCTCTAGTGCTGATTCTGTCTTAGTTTCTTTGATGTTTTGTTTCTGCTTAGTTTTTTGCTTTCCGCACTAATCCCGTTGTGAACTTTGTTTTGCTTTTACCCTTTAATTTTAAAAAAAAAAAAAACTCACTTATCACGGTTATGGAGAAAGAGGCTGAGTCTTTGGTTCTTGACAGCCAAACCATTGAAGCTATGGAATATTCCTAAATTTGAAACCATCAACTTGCATAGCAATTCTTCTTAGAGTGATCTGGAAAGAAAAGCTTACCAAGTACTATCACAGAGCCCTATAAAACCTCACGCACAATATAGAGAAGTTTAAAAGTGTTTACGGGATGGGACAAGATTAAGACATTCCTATTTTGTGTCCTGTCTTGAAAAATTATCAATCTAAATTTTTGTCTCATGTCCTATCTTATTTAAAAAATTGTCTCATCCTATTAAGAATAAGGACGAGATCAAGACATTCCACCGTCCTGATAAAGCAAACAATATGGAAAAAAAGTATAGATAATAATATTCATTAATTAAAATTTTAAATCTCGTAATTTATTAAGTTTAAAATTAAAATAACATGAATGCGTAAATCACAACAATTATATAATTTCATTAATCACAACTACAAATGTACAACTTAAAGTCAATTAGACATGAGACATAATACATTATAATAGCAATTATAAGTGTTCTCTAAACTATAAGAATAACAACATCAGACAAGCTCGGTATAATTTCAAGTCATTTTTTTTAGTTGAAATATGTTAATTGTTAAGCTAATGACTCTTTCTAAAATAAAGCAAGAAATACAATATAAACAAAAGTTATTAAATAGATAAATATAAAAATAAATTATATTAATATATGTAATATATATTTTTCAAACAAAAAATAATATATATAGATATATAAATTTATATAATATTTGAGATGGAACAAAACATCTCGAGGGTAATCCAATGTCCCATCCAGTTTCCTCATTCTGAATCCCTTTCTCATCTCATTTAGTAAAGTTTTGTCCTGATTATTTTTGGATTGAGACGAAACCCATTCCAATATAATCGGAATGAAACCAAGCCAATCGAGACGGGTATAAGTTAAATACTCTTATGGAGATAATACACTCAATTTAGGAATCTTCAATGTAATATTTACTATTTTATAATCATTTTTCTTATTGTATTTCATTTAAAATAATATGTAATTTTTTTTATTTAATTCTCTCTTAAAAATCAAAGGGCCCGTTGATATTATTAATACTACTACTACTAGATAAAAAAGCATACAAAATATTGAGAATCATACTATTTTCAAATCATAAATATCAAATAGTGGCATAACACACTACTTAGTTACCAATGAACTCAAAACAAATTTAAAAACTAGACACGTTTTCCCTTGCACTATATAAGATATAACAAATAAAATATACTTCTTCAACTATAAAACCTACACTTTTATGACTTATAAATATACTATTTAATATATTATTTTGTATTAATTTACAAAATAATATACTGATTACTCGGGTTTGAAAATTAAGAGCCATGCCAATCTTTTCGTAATAAAGGGTGGAAATCGCGATTGGCATTCCGCAACAGCCATTGGCAGTTGAGTTTGAATTCTCCACTAATGAAATTCCACAATTCCTTTGCCGCGTTCAAATATGCCGCGCTAGTCTCACAAATCACACGTAAGGGGGGGCTTTCTATATCTTTTAGAGAGACGTTGATAACAATTGACTGAATGCATTAATCATGATCGGGATCCAGTGACCCCAAATGCTTGAATCTTGTGTCTTATCTGGTGATTCAAATCACTATTGGTCTTATAGTATAGTGGCACGTGCAATCTGAAAAATACAACCACCTAAATTTCTATTACAAGTGTCAGGACGACTGCACCAGATGCTAGCATTTCAATGACCAAATCTGGAAACCACAAAGAGCCTGACCAAAGAACAAGGAACATTCTACATCCCTAGCAAAATATATACATTTACACTTTAACGGCCCAAAAAAGGGGGCGAGCACATGCACTTATCTACAAGCTGAGCATTGTCAAATCATAAATTCGTCCTGATTTTGCGTCCTCAGGATCACTTTTGTCATCATGTAGTACAAGCAAGTTTAATGTGCCTGGTTCTTTCAACCAGGCAGCGACCACAGATCCTGCTGATATGAACCTACCTAAGTTACACTCGGCGACCTGGAAGGGCGCGCCCATGCCACTGAGAAGTGCCTCAACAGCTCTTCTCAAAGTGCCATCACCAACTACTTTGCTATGCTTGCCCCATCCGGTCAGAATGCTGCCACATATTATCATTAAATCGTATACCCTCATTAATTCCCCCAAAGAAGATCGCAACGCTAACCTTACAAACAAAAAAGATGCATACCTTAATAGCTTAGGCAGTTCACGGCCTTCAAAAACAACTGAACGGATATTGAGCAACCATGCATGGACCATTGCACAAGCAGCACCGCAAGACATCAGATGCAGATCAACACAAGAATCAGACCAGACACTCTCCCAAACATTTCGACGTTTCCCTTCAAGCACAACCAGCTGGGCTCCTCGTTTCTGACACCAATTTCATAGAAAAACATCAATGGGAAAGTCAATCAAGCAAAAATGAGCTGTATAGACACCCAACGTTTAAAGAACTACATTAAACTGATCAATTCAACCAAGAAAAAAACAAACCAGTGCCAGGGCCCGTCGAAACTAAAGGGCAAACGAAAGGAAAAAAAAAACAAGTTAACCCAACCTCGAACTAGTCAAAATCGGTTAAACTAGCGGTTGACCAGTTCTGCTCGTCTACTTACATATCTGTGTGTGTGTGCATTTCTTATGGTTTCACTGAAACAAAGTATTAAGACAAAATCATTCATTAAACTGGTTGAGACGCTAATTCAATGGCTAGTCCAGTCTTTTTAATACCTTGATAATACCTCTGCTAAGACATTTGTAAAACCAAGTTGTTGCAAATTACTGCATTTCCAGATGCCAAAATGCATTCGTAATCAATCAATTTTACCTGACCAAAGTGCCAAAGCATGTCAGTAAGGGCATTATAAAAGGCAGATGCTGTTGAAGAATCCATATGCTTGACTTCATCAAACAGTGATTGAGCCTGAACCCAAATGTTTTCCCTGTAACCCATTAGTAGTCCATGGGCCACACCGTAAACCTGGTTATCAAATAGGCGGAGCTCCTCCAATAACATTGAAGCATCTTCAAATGAATTGCACCGGCTGCATCCAAGGACCAAATTATACACTTGGCAAAATGAACATACAAGTACATATTACCCAAATAACATCAGGAGACAGGCAGTAATAAGGAAATGAAACAAGCAGACCTTGAGCAGGAAATAGATTGGAGGACTGGAGTTATTGTCAAATTCTATTTGTTTTAAAAGCCTAAACTTGTACGAGCCAAAGTAAGCATGTCATGCTTTACATATCACGTCTCCAACCAAAAAGCATCATACATTTTTGAAAAAGACAAAACACAACCATAACAGTGACATACAACTGAAATTAAGACTAAATACAAGAACAAAATGTGCTCATATGCTTCAACAACTATTACTGGTTCTGAGTAATCTAGAGAGTCAGGAAGGTTTTGAGCTTTCCCTTGCACATACAGTTTATACTTTCATTCTATAGTGACAAGTTGTGGCAGATCCAGATATTTCATTTGGAAGGCTGTGCGTGTAAAAAAAAAAAAAAAAATCTATTGTTGAAGTTCTGATTTAAATTAATTTATACTAGAGTAGACAAAAAATACAGAAGATATTTATGCATTAAACAGAAATTTCCAAAAAATAATGGAGTCATCATGCAGGTGACAAAAATTCAAAGTGGTGATTGGGTTCAACTGAGTGAAGGAACACTTTCATTAGAATGCTTAGAAAAA